CCGTGATAAAAAATAAATAATTTTTAATAAATAATTAATAATAAATAATAAAAACATCTCACTAACTTCATTTCCAAATAAATTTAATATGTTAACTGTGTTTTCTATGATATTTTGGGATGATCAGGTTACTGTTATTTTATTTTATGTGCGGCCCAAACCAAATTTTCATCTTCTAATGTGGCCCAGGAAAGGTGAAAGGTTGGACAACCCTGCTCTACATGATAACATCTGTCTTTCCTTTGTTTAAAATTATAATTGTGCTGAATTAGTGCTGGTTACAACTGGTCCTTGAAGTTCCAGTCATCTCAATACCCCTGTAATCATTACAATCTAAACCAGGGGTGTTAAACTAAAAGCCTGTGGGCTTGATCAGGCCCATGGGATGCTTAGTTCTGGCCTGTAGGACTGCCCTGAAAACAGTGAAGTACAGGCTCGCGATGCCTCTGCCAGTGAAAACGGAATTCAGGAGGGCCACGGCCCTCACGACCTCCGTTTTCACTGGCATAGAGTTGCAGGAGACTGTTGCAGCTGAAAACAGAAACCTGTTTTCGCTGGCAGAGCACTTGGGTCACCACAGATGTCCTCACATGAGTGATGTCAAGCTGGCCCTGCTGGCATGCACCCCCAGGTCAAACACAACCCTGATGTGGCCCGCAATGAAATCGAGTTTGATACCCCTGATCTGGGCGCTTGGCTATTTATAACAAGTTTGTTTTTGGCAAAAATGCCAAAAATTGTAGTCATGTCATCATAGGATGCTACAAACAGCTATAAGAAGCTTCGGGGAGATACATCATACACTTGGAGCAGTTACTAAGCTTCCAGTCATAAGTTGTAAAATACCTGTAGTTTGATATCATGTAGCTGGCTGGTCAAATAACAAAGATTTTTCTATTTCAGTTTTGGTTGCATCTGAATTATATTCTTTGTTTTCATGTAACAATGTTATTGGAAATGATTAATATAATGCTTAATTTTAAGTAATTATTTTTTTGTAGAAAATTATTATTTACATTTTTATAGTAAATTATAGTAGATTATTATTATTATTTGGAAAGTCTTGATGCTTAAAGTCACACACCCACATTTCACTGAATTTGACTTACCTAATCATACAGATTTTGCAAGTTACTTTAGATTAGATCATCATTATTTTATGAGATACTATACATAGACATTTGAATATTTTTTTCCTCCCAGAGCCTACCAACTGTGCTTTTGTGAGAATTTTATGTACTGACATTTTACTTGTGCCCTTCACTCTGAAGTGCTTTCTTGTAAATGTCAGGGAACACTCAATGTAACAATTCCTATTTCTTGAATAGATGCAATACCTCTTCTTGCAAAAATGAGCTCCAGAAAGCACACTTTGACTTGAGTCTGCATTGTGAACAGAAAATTCAGTAGGAAATAGAGGAAAAATGTAGACGTGTTCTTTACAATGGTTACGTTGGATTCAAAGACCCTGCTTGTGCAGTATGCTTAACCAGGCTCTGAGAGAAGGAATAAGCATACTGTACAAACTATGTAAGCTGCATAAATGAATCCTCATGAGAATTAAAATCAATCCAAACACCTCTGGTCCAAATATGGCTCTAATTTTCACATGCCACAGAAACTATTTCCTGGAGTTCATTTTTTCTCTTCGCCGCTGAGATTGTGATGTCTATAAGCAATAGAGTAAATGTGGCTTATTTCACCTTCCTTGCTTGGAAAAAAATCACAAAGAGGTGAAAAGGGGATAGCAAGACCTCCCTTGTTGCCCAACACACAACCATAATTTTTTAAAAATTCTAGCCAGTGGGCCAATAGAGAAACAATGACAGTTTTTCAGATTGCTTTATAGCAGCTGGAGTAACTAAAAATCTAGTGCATGACAGATTCAGATATCCTACTTCGTGTGTTGCTAGTTCCCAGAGATCAGTCTTGGTGGTTTGATTATCTGAGCAAGCAAAGAATTCTTCTTATGTGAAGGTTGTAATCCTATACTTAATTATCTTAAAAAGTTTCATTGAATTCAGTGAAATTTATTTTTGAGAAATTATTTTTAGAATTGTGCTGTAAATTTTTCTATATTCCATTCTAACAATATCATTGTTTAGTCTCAATGTTTTCAGTAAAATGAAATTCAACTAACTTAATATGGATTATAAACTTGTTTATAATCATTTTTAGAAATTTTGTATTACAGTTCCAAAAATGTTTTATTATTAGTGGTCATGTTTCCCAAAGCCTCCCAAAGTTCTGCCTGAAATATTTTCAAAGCATCTTGAAATGTACATTTTTAATTTATTTCATTTTATTTCATAATTAAATAGTAAAATAAGGTCAAATATATTGACTTTAGTTAAAGTTTCTGCTTGGTTGGTTTCAGTGCTATATTATATTACAGAGTATAATTGTGAATATGTATTAGGTATGCATTGGCTAATTTGAATTTGCCTTTATTATAGATTAAGCTACGTGGATCATGCAGAAGATCTGGCTTCCAAATTACTCCAGTGTTTCCCCAAAAACAGATTGTCAGCACAGGCAGCTTTGAGCCATGAGTACTTCAGTGATCTTCCTCCACGGCTATGGGATCTAACTGATAGTGAGTATACCAAAACTTCTACATAGAAAGAGTTTTTTTTGTATGAAAAAGAGGAAGAAAGAGAGACAAATAAGGAAAAAATTGGTTTTTCTCTTCCTTTTCTGTTATTGAGCCTATAAATAATTACGTTTAATTATGAATGTGATTAAGAAAATTATATGGGATGCCATAAAGAGAAAGGAGGAGAATTTAAATTTACATATTTAGTGCTTTTTTTTACTTTATAACATGCAGTACTTTTTAAGCAGCTTCAATATCCAAGACAATACTCTAAAGTTGGATTCTCAAACATTACTTCTATTTGTAATTCTGGAATAATGCTTTCCAAAATAACTAAGATCTGCAAAGCAGAAATCAGGTTAATATCTAAGATTATTCACTTATTTACTGAGATGCCATGATATTGACTTATTGTTGCCTATCTGCCACCCCAGGACTAATGTGGAATATTTGATGTGGGCCAGGACAATTTGTGCTTTGATTCTGTGGGATTGGTTTGTCTGGAGGAAGAAGGTCTGAGATGGTACTCGAAGAGAAGCTTAAAAAGTTTGATGTGGGGTTGGGCAGGTAATCTTGGGCTGCAATGTGTTTTGGAACTAGATGGATTTACCAACAGTGTTTTTCTCTTGCAAATGGATTTTGGGTCTGATACCAGCCAAGAACGGGAGAGGAAATGGAGTGACAGTTGTCATCCACAGGGAATTTTTGGTTGAAGTTAAGCTGTGAGGAATAATTGAGATTACTGTTGGTAGATTGCCCTCCTACTGCGTAGCATCATCCTAGCCTGAGCTGTTGGATTCCATTGCTGGACTGGCAATAGGAACCTTGAGACTGATGGTAATCAGGATTTACAATTTGCCAACCTGATGATGTTGGCAGAAATCTGAGCAGCTCAGGAATTTGTGGCAACTACACATCTGTTCCAAGTCATAATAAACTGAACATAAATTGTGGGCTGCACATTAGATCAGGTTTTTGACTCAGAGCAGTTGTGTCTGGTCTCTAAGATATTGTTATTAATCTGTTATTAGATTACTCACTAGTTGCTTTTTGGCTGAGTAGGGATGAGACAACTGTTAGATCACTTTGCCTCACGTGCCTGAAAAACATGACTGGGGGGTTTCAGACAGACCTTGTGATTTTCTTTGAAGATCTAGATAGCAATTCTACCTGAGGCATTTGCAATTGGAATAAGAGAATGGTAGAAGATGTAGACCATATTGTCCCTCTCATACAGAGCTGGAATGTTTTGTTTTCTGAGGTGAACTCTATGAGGTAAAATACAAGATGAAACACCTGGACTGTTTCTTGACTCTTCTTTAGATTAAGAGAATCTAATTGAGATACATAAGAATCCATGTAAGGACTTAAATCGTGGTAAAAAAGGGCAACAAAACCAGAGATAATATTCAGCAGGTTCTGACAGTTCTGGAGAACCGGTAGCGGAAATTTTGAGTAGTTTGGAGAACCAGCAAGTACAACCTCTGACTGGGGAATTTACAGTATCCTTCCACTGCCACGCCCACCAAGCCACACCCACATAACCGGTAGTAAAAAATTTGAATCCCAATATTGAACAAAACCACAATTCTTTTCCCATTATTGTATCTGCCAATATCTGCTCAGTAGCAGTTTTTGAAGATGACTCACTCCCTGCTTTGGAGGGATGGATCATAGGCTACATGCAGGGCCATAATGAGGAATAATTTTTACTATTTGAGAGATTTGTTTTGAGTTAGACAAATAAAAAAGCTAGAAAATACAAATTCAAATACACACACTTTCAGAGGATGTTAAAGTTTAATATTCAATGAAATCAGTCTTTTCTTTCAGGATTTAAATAGTTGGGGAAAAGTCATTAACTTTTTTTGTATATGATAACGTCAGCAAGATTATTGCATGTACATAAATGGAAAGACTTGGCATTACTCACAACGCTTGGTGAAAATGATGGAAATTTCTGAGGTGGTAAATTTATTTTTAATCAGAGCAAAGACAATATCTATGTTAATTGCTGACTAGAAACATCTTAGTATGTTTTGTATGAAACCTCAGTAGACTTTTGCAGAAAAAACAAATTTATGATTTATGGTGTTTATGCTGGTACTTATTATTATATTAGGATTTCAGTCATTTATGGATCCTATAGTAATTTTTTCCCAGTTAATATGGCTTTATTACCAACTTGCCACTTAGTTTATCAATTGGTGGTTAAGTCCAGTCCTATCAGGCACTAAATACCGACACATTATCACTGTACAAGCAGGCTGCCAACAGAGACAGTCTTCACTTAGTCATTATCAAGTGCAATGTATGCAGAACACCAGAGGGGAATTAAAACCACAAAAAATACCTCAGGGTGGTATTTTTAATATGAGAATTTAATTTGTAATTTCACAGATTAAGAATTTTGGTTGCATTAATCCTTTTATCAGTTCACAGCAGGTTATTTGCAGAAGCATAACCATAAGGCGATATTCACTGGCCGAAACATGTCTTTGCATAACATTAAACATCAGGAGCAGTGAAACCTTTTGAAGGGAGAGAATAAAGATGAAAAAATCATTATATTTTTAGGCAAGGTTCTGCTAAATGCCTCCAGTAAATTTCTGAGTTTAGAAATACTGTTTCTGTCTATAGTAGATAATCATTATAAAGCATAAATCAAGATGCCAGAAAGGACAATCCCTATATGGAGTATTATAATTGTTTATATTTATTATGCATGCATTGATATTGCAAACATGTGTTGAACACAATTCATATGATTATAGAAACTATTGATATGATTAATATAACTCAAACTGATGCTTTTTCTATGTATCTGTAACTTTCCTATTTAAATTGTGTATTAATTTAAAATTTGTATCAGTAGATATTTATGTAGTAAATCATATGCAACAAATCTAAGGTAATTACCATATCTTAATAATTAAAATATAAGCATATAACTCAAGTTAGGGGTTACTAATCTTGCTTACCAATTAGTGACATAGATGTATTTTTCAAATATTCACGTTTCTATGGATGATTTCACATTTCTAAAGAATAAATTTATACTTTTTTCTCTCTCATAATTTCTCTGCCTTCTTTTCTTCTCTCTTTCTTTCACACACAGGTATTATGAAACCATTACAAGTGGGCAATTCTTACTTTTAGTACTAATATAACATTTGTTTATTAAAATGTTGCTATATTAAATTATGCAATAAATTATTATTTTAATCATTACCCTCATGAAAGTGCCAGCAGAATAATAATCTGAATTATATTAACTGGACTAATCTCTACTGGAAGGTTTACAGTGTTTGGCTATATTTATATATATGAATGGTAGAAATAAGTAGAGAAGGAAAAAATGGAAGTTTTTGTTAAAAATGTGGAGGTGTGTAGAGTTTTATGTTAGGCAAGGGTAAGGGTCACCAGACAGCATTCTAAACTTTCAATACAGCTGATCAACATTTTTTCTTTTAAATTATAATATGGAAGCTTCCTTTTTATTATTAGAAGGCACATTGTGCCTAACTAGCTCATTGGATTGCTTTAGTACTTTTTTCCTTTCAGGTAGACCTTTGGCTCTGTTAAATACAGTATATGAAAATATAAATTTTCATGTGTCTCTTGGGAATACTATCTTTCAAAAGTACTTACTTGGGAGCAAGTTAATGTGTTTGAAGATTAAGGAGAATTGTTTGGAAGAAAATTAATGCATTGGGAGTATAGGATATTTGTAGAATAATGTCACTTGATACTGATAGATTTCTGCATATAAATTACAGATAAGTAGCCATTGGTGAAGTTAATATCAGTTGACTGGCCAAAATAAGGAGGGGGGAGGGAAAGAGACGGAGAGATTTTAAAATCAGATATTGAAGACAGAGAAGATAAAGCAGGAATAAAAGGACAAAGGGATTATAAACAGTAATTTTGAATTATCTAAAGTGATATGAATCAAAGGCTCACTTGAAATGAGCATTTATGGAAGGAATAAGACATATAATATACAGCATTAATACAGAGATACTGTATGTTGGAATATAAAAACAAATGGAACACACTATCAGACAGAATAAAGTTCCAAAGTGAAAAATAATGGGAATGGAACTACCAGTATTTAATATAGAAATCCAATACCACAATTCAGAATGATTTCCATGGGAGATTGTGAAGATTTTGAAGAAGACAGTTTTAGTTTTACTGGAGCAAATAGCTGGAGAGACAGAGAAAGCAAAAGATAATGAATTAGCTGGAGAGACAGAGAAAGCAAAAGATAATGAATTATAACTTGTACCTTGATAAGACATTTCAGAGGAACTCTGAAAAAAAGTTAGGAGACTTAAGAAATCAGCTATAGGGACACAATTAAGAATGAGGGATGATGCTATATTGATAGAAATAAGCATCAGATATATGACAGATTCTTACAGAATCTTTGGGAATTTATTTACTGAAGTTTCTCAGTTGGATATTGTTTTTCTTCAGGCAAGCAATAACAGTAGGTTGGAACTGCAGTATTTGGAATCACATGTTCTTAATTAGAATCCTGATATAATTCATAACCTTTATTATATGGAAAATAATAATGATGAACAATTAGGGTTGATCTTTCTCAAGAAAATATTTTGCTCAGTATTCTTGATCAAATTCATATTTTAAACATTTAAGGAAAATTAGGAGTAGAAAGAAATTTAGCTAAGGTAATGTCTTGGCTTGAAGTTTGAAGACACCAAACAATTTTAAAAAGTCCTGGTCATCATGAATGACTAGCATACTAGTTTTGGGGATCTTTGCTTAGGACATCTGGGTTTGTACCAGCTTCTTCTTCATTTATTTTGTTACATATAGAAGCCCTAGAAAAAATTGTCTAAAAATACAGTTGTTTCTAGTATTTTTATGCCTTTTCTTCTTTTAAAATTTGTTTATATAGAAATTGGCCAAGAAAGCAGTTTATTTTTCTTTTTTAAATCTTAGTAATCTGAAATATTTTTTAACAGTGTCATCTATCTTTTCTGTACCGAATGTAAGACTACAAGTGGAAGTTGGAGAAAGTACAAAAGCTTTTGGGAAAAACATTTATGGCAAAGGTCAATCACATGTAAAGCACTGAAGAGAATTTTGATTTCCTACAAATAATTGAGGTAAGTCTTACTAAAAAGTGTTTGTTTTTAGTAATTTTTTCTATCCTTGACATGCATGGTTTTTTTAAAATAAAACCTTGTTTCTTAATATGCAAATAAGAACTTTTTTCTACAAGTATGAGTTTTATTTGTGCACTGTTAATATGAGTAAAGATATGTAACATCCTTTAAGACTAAGATATCAAATCAACTTTAAGAAACAGATAAGAAATTTATAGACATGGTAGTCTCTCTCTCTTTCTCCCTCCCTCCCTCCCTCCCTCCTTCCCTCCCTCTCTTTGTGTGTCCCTCCCTCCCTCTCTCTTTGTGTGTGTGTCTATCTGTGTGTATGTATGTGCGCACGCACAAGTGCGCACACTTGTTCTTCTGGGATTTCTTTGTCCATCAGCCTATAGGCAGAGGAAAAAGATTGCTTTTCAGCAGGGCTAATGATATGCAATGAGATTATTGTGAGATGGGAACAAAGCTCTCCTATCATTTCCTCCCCCCTCAAGCAGTCTTGCTCAAATTGCCCTTTCTGTGGCAAATAACAGCAGGGAAAGAATATTATGCACTGTAATTACCTAAAGAATAAATTTAGTAAGAACCTGATTTTATCCAAATTACCCAGTGTATTTATATATGGATGTCTAAGCACATTTATAGGCAGCTCCACAAATTATATGTCATGGTCCTTAGGATTTGAAGAAGACTGTCCTTTGTTCATCTACGGACGCGGATTGGGTTGAAAAGATTGACCACTGTACTTTAAAACAATTGATTCTCCCCATTCTTTGGATTTGAGAGCAGATATATTCTGCTTACTAAAGGTATTGCCCATAGATGATTTTATTGTTTTCTGTCTTTTTATCATTAGTATTTTCTGTATTTATACCAAGTCAATGTTAGTATTGCATATATACAATGTAAATATTTTATTTCAAGTCTACATATATAATGTCAGAGGAGAAAACAAGATTATATAAGAATTTTTTCCCTTAACCAAATTCTAGGATTGGGAAGAGACAATACATGACTAGTTTTGTTTTATATGTCTTGAGCATACATAGAGTCTTGCGTTTCTATATAAGTCAGATGAATCTGAAATAGATGAAACCAGTCATATACAGTACTGTCTCTAGTGGTGAGTATAATAAAAATATAGAGAATATATACTTTGTAAATATAAACAACATCTAATACACATACGAAGTATGTGGAAGTCCTGTAATACTCATATAAATAGTCTTTTAATTTAAAGAATTACAATCCTAACTTGGGGCCTCAGGAAAATGTTGTGAATAGTAAACTGCTCTATTGAGAAAAAAGTTGTTCTTGAATACATTGTATTCATCTGAATTGTGATTAGATAAAATATGAAACATGAACATTTATTTTTCAAGGTTTGAATAAAATTCTCAGGACAATTTCTTGCATCTACAAAGACTGAGCACTAAATTATAATATCTTAACCAAAGGGACAATTTCATGTTACTGATTCTTTTCCAGATTTATCATATTATGGTACCTATTTCTCATTTATTATATAGAATATGTGATTCCCATTAAAATATGTTTCTGTTTGAAACATACTACATTTTTTCAAGCATAGTATATATTTTACTAGCTACTTTATAGAAAATCAGAATGCTTTTCAAGACAAACACAAATAAAAATTACATAAAATCATTATAAAATAGCAGAGTGACACTTTTTAAAACAGCAGCATAGGACGTTTATACACAGAGGAACAATATAAAGAGAACTTAAAAGTATGAAAGAAGAAAAATACTTGCTTGGAACTGAAATTTATTTAAGGAAATTTAAAGAAATAAATTTCAGATGGATGGGAGATATGGGTTATATTCCTTTACTGGAATACAGTAGACAGATTATTGAATAGGTTAGTTGAATGTCTTAGCATAAAAGATAAGACTTTGTTTTATTCTTTATTTTATTACTATTCTAATACATTTCTTTTTTTCCCATTTGGAATAGAAAATTAAAGGCAGAATAATAGCTAATGTATGTGCAAGGGGAACCTTTATCTTTTACCTTTATGACATTGTTCCAATAGCCAAAAGACCACAGTGCTATTGCAGAAAAGTAGTTTGGCTTAACAAGGTACTAGCCTTGTTACAGGAAATGCGTGTTTCTCAAGGTGCGCCACAGGAGGGCGAGCTAGCTTCATACCACAAAGAAAGACTAGTGGCTCTACCTGTAGCATCACCAAGGCCCCCTGTCTCCCCAGAACTGCCTTACAAATGGGCACCGCAACCAGAAAAGTTCATCAGGAATCTGACTGTCTGCACAGAGCACCAGCTTATCTCCCCACTGAAGCGGTATCGATCTATCCACTTGCATAAAACATGTTAGGTGAATAGAAGTGTTAGGTGAATAGAAGCTGTGACAAGTGATAGGAGCTCACCCTGCCATGCGGTGCTTGGGATTGAACTGTCTGAGCTGAGACCATCTCCAGCGTCATTTAAGCCACCAGGCTACCAAGTCCTGGCACCTGCTTATTGTAGTAATTGAATTGGAAGATCATGGATCAGTTCAGCCAAGCTACTTCTGCCCAGGTTATATTGTATATAAGGTACACAGTTGATTGGAAAAATGCAGTGAGTGGCTAAAAGAACACTTGGAGTTTATGTTAAGAAATATAAATCTCCAAGCATTCCCAAATAACAGATTTGGTGTCCTTTAGTGCTAAACTGTGTAACCTTAACTTTGAAGTAAACATGCAGCCCTATGCCTAATTTTATACTGCCCTTTATCTAATTTTACAGGCCTTTGGTAAGCACTCTATTCAGATCTTTTGTTAAAATAATCTATTCCATCATGACAATTTAAGAGAAAATAAAAAGAAAAGGCATTAGAAAGAGAAAAAGGATAAGCAGCCATCCAGTTCAGTCATGAAGTTTTCAAACATTTTGAGAACCATTTCGTCTTTGGTTAAATGATACTTACATGGACAGTTTTCACTAGTAGTATCTCATCTTGTCTGTATTCATTGTATTGGTATTTCAGTTCAGTATCATGGCCAAGCACTAGTAAAGGATGTTCACTATTTTTTTTGCATCAAATTAAAAAGAGAGAAATTAGTATGGCATTAGCATATTTATAGTATTGTAATCTAAATCTTGGGATTACTTCACTTAGAGTTTTTCTTGTCATGTGAGAAAAACTATAATGTAATTGCTGTTCTTCTCTTTTAAAAACCATCTCTTGGCTCCAACACATGAAATACACACACAGATCAGTTTAAAAAAGGGATCCCCAACCCTGGGCCACAGATCTGCATTGGTCTGCAGTCTGTTGGGAACCAGGCCATGCAAGCAGTGGGTGAGCACACAAATCTTCATCTGCACATACGTGGTATCTAGATTTTGTGTGTGAAACCATCCCCACTGCTCACTCTGCGGCTGCTAGTCCATAGAGCCAGAAAGGTTAAAGATTGCTGGTTTAAAAGATATATTGTCTTCTAGATTTTGAACTAAAATGGTTCTGGAGGACTCTAGCATGGACTACAAGATCAGATGTGCCAGCCTAAAATGGTGAATATGTGCCAAGCTGATCTCAACCCTTCAAGTACTATCTGACAAATAATTATTGAACTACACCCAACTGTACAGTAAAAATGCTGTGACTTTTTGCCCATATGAGGAAACCCTAAATTCAGGACATTGTCTAGTTCAATAATCTCTGCAATTTCCTTGCCAAACAAATGAACCCTGGAAACCCCTAAAGATATGTTGCTGTCACTTTTCATGTGTAATTTCTAAAAATGTCACTTTTAATACGTTGACCAATAATATACTGTGTCAAGGAATATAACAGTTAATTCCTGCACCAATATTTCTTTCCACTAACACTAATTCTGCACAAGGACAAAGACAGTTTCAAGTGTCCAACCCATCTAAATTCTAATTGAGAGTGATATAGGGAAATGTTTTTCATAAAAAACAAGGACCCTCTGACTCTGGATTTGCCACCTATTTATAATTATTTTTTCTGGAGGCAACATGATGTCTCCGCCCCCTCCCAAACACACTAACACACACATACACACACACACACACATACAGTCTATCATCATCTTTTAGATAAACATGAGAATTCAGCCTCCATTGTTGACAAACTTAGATGTTTTTGTCTAATAGATCTCCATCCAATCAATGCCTTTCCCAATAATACTATAGTACCCGATGTAGATTTTCGTGTATTTATGTCTGTAGCAAAACTTGCATCCGCATATGCAGTTAAACTCAGTTCATCTTTAGGCTTCAAATACAATGCATAGTGCATTGTTTGTTTCAGATATCTTAACACACATTTAGCAGTTTGCCAGTGCCTTTCAGTCAGCTCAGCATTAAATCTCGCTAATTGATTAACACAGTACGCGATATCTGGACTTGACCAATTAGTGAGATAAGATAAACTACCAATCAAGGACTGATAAATGTTCTTATCAAAAGCAGGACTTTGAACATCATTATGGCTAAACTCCTGGCTCATTGGTGTTTTAGCCGGTTTACAAAGTTCCATTTTAAAACTTTTTAGTAATTGATTAATTTTATCTGCCTGTGAAATCTTGTATCCTCCCCTAGTTCTATCTATCTTTAAACCAAAATATTGTTTGATTTGTCCTAACTGTTTTATCTTAAATTCCTTCTCTAACAGACAGATTATTTTAGTAGCTTCTTGTTCAGTTTTGGTGATTAATGCTATGTCATAAGTAAATAATAGCAACAATGAAATTACACCATTACTTTCTCTTTTAAACAAACATGGATCAGCCATGCCAGCTACAAAAACTATTTTAGTTAATTCCTTAACTATACATTGGTTCCACTCATATCCTGATTGCTTCAAACCATAAAGACTCTTTTTCAATCTCCAGCAATCAGTTGTATTATCGTTTGTGAGACCTAAAGGTTTTTTTAAATATATAGTGTGTTGCAGCGGTGCATGCAGATAAGCTGTTTCTACACCCAAATTATTTGTAATATATTTCTCCT